GTTTGTATGACTTATTAGAAGTTCACTGTATTTCTTAATCTTTTTCTTCTACAGACAAGGTTTATATATTTTTTTTACTCCCCCCTAGCATTTTATTTTATTTTTGTGTTTTGTTTTGCTTTGTTTTAGTATAGTTTGAATATGATATTCTGTGGTGTGGATTTTTTGATGTTTATCCTTCACGGTGTTTGATGATCTATGAGCTTCCTGTACCTGTTAATAATTTCAGAAAGTTATAGTCATTATTACTTCAAACACTTTTCCTGTTCCATTTGTTTTTATTTCTCCTTCAGGTATTCCAATTATGGGTATGTTATACCATTTGAAATTGTCCACAGTTCTTAAATATTATATTCTGTTGTTCTTTTTTTCCTTTTATTTTTGCATTTAGTTTTTGCTCTGTATTTCATTTCAGGAAGTTTCTACTGACTTATATTCAAGGTCACCGCTTCTTTCTTTGGTTGTGTTCAGTCTAATGATGGGCCTATCACGTGCATTCATCATTTATGTTACAGTGTTTTTGATTTCTAGCATTTACTTTAAATATTTCTTAGAGTTTTCTTTCTTCTACTTAAAGTGCCCATCTGTTCTTGTGTGCTGTCCACTTTGCCCTTTAGAGCCTTAGCATATTGATCATGTTTGTTTAATTTAACTGCCTGATCACCCCAACATATCTGTGGTGTCTGTGGCAGGTTCTGGTAAGTATCTTGCCTCTTCAGACTTCATTTTTCTTGTCTTTTGGTATGCCTTATAATTTTTTTCTTAAAAAGTAGACATGATATATTATTAGGTAATAGACAGTGAGGTACATAGACCATTACTGTGCCGTTCTATGTTAATATGGCTTATGGCTGGGTTTAATGTTTGCTGTAACTGTAGATGCCAAGGGCTTTAACACCTTCTGGTATTGTTTTGTTTTGTTTTGTTTCTGCTATCTATTTGTGTGTCTTTAGGTTTCCCTAAGAACTCCTTCTTAAATAGAGCTGTCATCTATTGTTATAGTGGAGCCCTGTTTCTGCGGTGCTAGGGAGTGGTGGAGGGGAATCGCCTATGACTTTATGGTTATATTTCACTCTGTCAGTGAGTCTATATTCCTGGGCTATGACCTTCACAAGAGTTTTTTCACTGTTCACCTTTTAACCAGGGAAATGCTCCTTTCCCATGTAAGATAAGGCGCTGGTAAAATCTCTTTTCACTGTAAAGTAGGCAACGGTAATGAAGAACATTCTGCGTGCACTTCATGGTGGTTACTTTCCCCCTTCCCTTGTCAGAGACATGAGATGATTTTTTAAATTGTTTTTTGTGAGAATCTGTTGTGGGTCTGGAGGTAAAACCCATGAAAGTGTAGGAACCCTTCCTAAGACTGCAGCCTTCAGATGATTTTTACTATCACTGTAGCTCACTCACAGAGTCCAACAACTTATTAAAATGACGACTATGTATTCCAACCAACTTATGGATCTGGTAGATTCTGCTACAGGTGAGCTCATCTTGACTGTGATTCTCTGTATGCATTCATCTGTCCAAATTTTAGAGTAGTGTTATTTCCTTAACCTCAAATATCTGATGGATATAAGAATAGTCATTGATTTTCTGTTCGTTCAATCTTTTTCTTATTGTAAGGACAGGAATGACAATTTCCGAGCCTTTATTTGTGAGAGCTGAGAACTGGAAATTATCTTTAAGTTCATTTGAACCAACATGTATAGAATATTAGTTTGAAGGGTTGCCAGAGTATAAGGGTGTTTTTAGTGCTCCCACATGTTTCAACTAATTCCAGGCAGGGACAAAAGCAATTTAAACTTGAATCTCAGGTTAAATGCAGCCACTGACATGAAAATAATTCTTTTAAAGGCTGTGAGGAAAAGGGACAACATTCAAAAAATAAATTATAGAAACAAATTTTTGTTAATGGATCAAAATAGTACAATTGAAAGCAGCTGCATAATATAACAACAATCCCAAGCTTTTGAAAGAAAACATTTTGAGCACAATATCTAGTATAAACCTTACGAATAATCAGATCCAGCAAGAGGTTGATTCTGTTAGAAACGTTCATCCAGCATTTTGAACAAGGCCCTCAAGCTCTCAGGATCGAAAGTCTTATTCGGAGCAGAAGCTCTGAACTCATGGGCCTAAAGCTGAATTAGGTTTTTTGACACATTGGTGTGTTTGTTTGTTTGTTAAATAAATGGCTTGCTGACTGTGAATGATTTGGTGATTTCCTTAGAAAATCTGGCTGCTCCCGAAGCTCTTGGCGGTTGTTGCCCCTGAATGCCCTCTGCAGGAGCAGAGCAGAGGCTCACCACCTCCCTGCCAGGCATTCGAGTTTGTCTTCTAAATCTAGTCATTTGAAGTTAAGAAAAAACCAAATAAACAAACAAGCAAAACCTTAGTGGACTTTTTCTAGAACCTGGACATCGGATGGAAATTCAGGGTATTCGTTACATTTTAGTAACATGTCCATTCAGTTCACTTTTTCCATGGGTGGCTTGCAACAGACAACTTGAATTAGTTGATAAATAAGCACACGTGAAGGTATCCCCGTCATTTTTTGGATGTTTGTAATTTGGGGTTATTGGAGACAACTACCTTTTCCAAATTATCTTCATATCTTCTTTCTGAAAAAATTGATTCCATTTTTCGAAAAGCCTGATTAGCTTCTGTAAATCCATTTTGTAGAATTCAGATTTAAGTTAAAGACACGGTCATCACTGCTGCTATGTGGAAGTACTTTAAGAGAAAGCATTTTCCCTACTCTTCATAACCCACACCCACTGATACACTTTTCCTCCAGGATAACAATTAGTTAATAGTTTATTTTACTTTTTTTTAAATCTGCATTCTGTGTGGTTGCATGGGGAACACATACAGACACAAAATATATGTATATGTACATACAAAAATCTATATATAGAGTGTCCCAAAAAAGTGTATACACACTTAACAGCTGATAGCTCAATTGATGTTTCTTTCTTTTCAGATTGAACCCATTGGAATTAATAATTATTCAAAGTGTGTATACATTTTTCAGGACACTGTATATGTACACACAAAACTAAATGTATATGTATATGCACACATACATACTTATAATATATGTATACCTGTTTTCTGCATTGTCTTTATTTACACAAATGGTTCATATTATGCACACTTTTTTGTACCTTGATGTTATGTTTTTGAATGGCAGTGTAGTAATCCTTTGTGGAAATTTTTATTGTCTCCAATTGTTTCTTTTGTGCTTGTTTTTCTGTTTGTTATTAAAAATTGTACTGCTGCCTGGCTGGGCGTGGCTCAGCGGTTGAGCATCAACCTAGGATCCAGGCGATCAGGGTTCGATTCCTGGTCAGGGCACATGCCCGGGTTGTNAGGATTTAAAAAATAAAAATTAGCCCGGCTGGGTGTGGCTCAGAGGTTGAGCATCCATGGTCCAGGAGATCACAGTTCGATTCCCGGTCGGGGCACATGCCCAGGTTGTGGGCTCCATCCCCGGTCGGGGGCGTGCAGGAGGCAGCCGATCAATGACTCTCATCATTGATGTTTCTCTCTCTCTCCCCCTCTCCTTTCCTCTCTCTGAAATCAATAAAGATATATTAAAATAAATAAATAAATAAATTAATAATAAATAAATAAATAAATAAATAAATAAATAAAATTGTACTGCTGACATATTCTGGTGATTATATCATTTTGAACTTTGATAATTATATTAATGATGGAAATTTTTAGATGTAGTCTTCTGAATCAAAGAGTATGTATATTTAAAATTTTCGAACACGTTGTCAATATTTACCCCCAACAAATTAGCACCATTTCTACTTTTCCTAAATTTTTGTCTTTATATTCTTAAAATTCATTTTTCTCTATTCTTATTTTCATTTCTTTACATTGAGTGTGTACACCTTCTCATTTGCATATTGCATATCTGTATTTTTCTGTAATTCTTGTTCATTCATTGAATATGAATATCTAAATTTCAAAATCTGCACTTTGGTTAGTATTCTAAAAATGTCATTTCTCAGGAGAGTTTTACTTTTGTTTTCTTAAATATGTTTTTATTGGTTTCAGAGAGAGAAAGGGAGAGGGAGAGAGAGAGAGAAACATCAATGATGAGAGAGTCATTGATCGGCTGCCTCCTGCGCGCCCCCGACTGGGGAACGTGCCGGAAACCCGAGTATGTGTCCTGACTGGAAATCAAACCATGACCTCCTGGTTCATAGGCCAGTGCTCAACTGCTGAGCCACATTGGCCAGGATCAGGAGAGTTTTTATCTGGTTTCTAGGAGAGAAACCTTCTGTCATTGGTGCTTGTTCAAAGGCCAGTATCCTGAGAGTATTGACTTTGCAACTGCCTGGGTGAGATGCCATGTGATACATTGAGGCAAAATTTTTCTTAATGTGTCATTTCTGTAGGTTCTATTTAGGCTCTTGTGGCTTATGAGGTATTATAGTCAACGGTGTAACCAAGAGTTAATAACTATAAAGAGTGAAATGCTCACAAACTTCTCTTTTTAGACAAGTAAGTAACTGGTAACAGATTGAAAGAGGGAAACAGGGAGAGTGGTGGACAGATACACTGAATCAATGTCCTCCACAGTTTTGAGAATATTCTGAGTTTCCTTCAGTCAGCATTTATTGAATTCCTATTATGAGTAGTCAGTTACTAATTAATTTTTTTAAATGTACATTGAATAAAGCATACTTGCGTTTTTTGAGCTGTGCCCTGGGTGTGGACTGAAATGAAAAGACAAAGGATTCAAAATTGAAGGACTCTTTGAATAAACCTTATCTAATCCCAGAGTTTGGGGCTAAGATGGGGAGAGCACACTCAGTGTGTGAGAAATGGGATGCAAATGATCTCTATCACCCGCCTGACTGGGAGGTCAGTGGAATGTTACTGGTAAATTCCATAACTTTTCAATACCCATTTGTAGTATTGTAGGCTTTCCTGTCATCGCTTACCCTCCGGCTCAACTTTGTGCATGTGATTTCCCACAGTACTCAAAGGCGGAAAGGCATCCTGTGACTGCACTGGAGAAAATGATGGAGTCAAGCTTTGCTGGCCCCCAGTCATTCCCAGAGGTCCCTTCTCCTGACAGAGGAAGCCAGTCTGTCAGGCATCACAGGTACAGGTAGCTAATCATGGTGGGAATGGGTACATTCACACCATGTATGACCCTGGGCAACACATGCTAAGACATGGCAACACTGTTGAGGAGAGATGATTGCTCCTGCTTCCCCTGTGCTCCACGGAGTGGATGCTCAGCCGCTCTCAGCAGGTAAACCAAAGACACAGCAGGCTGCAGGGCCCCTCTGCAAGACCTGAGGGAACTATTAATGACCCCATCAAAGCCGCAGACACAGACCAGTGAATGAAACAATCGCAATCTGAAAAAATATTAAAAACTCGCTATTTTTCTAGTCTGCCTGACTAATTCTTCCCTGGGCAAACTGATGTGACACCCTCCATGTCTTGCAACATGATCTCACACACAGAAAACTTTCAAGGGGGAAGAATCCTGGCAAATCTTCTCCTCGATCTGTAAGATCTATTATCAGTGGGATGGCCCTCTTACAAGCTCACCATAGAAATTAGCTCTTTTGCGGGGGGGAGAGAGCAAAAATAAAGTTGTCTTACACATTGTATTGCATTCTGAGGCTGAAAAACTTCATCTGCTAGTCACACACTGTGTTTTATACCCAAGGGACCTCCGTAAGTCTTTGTTCTAAAATGAGTGCCAATGTTTGGGAGAAGTGCTGAAACATATGTTTATGCCATTTAAATGTGTGGTCTTTGTAGATGTTGTCCCAAGATTCAAGCCTCCTTTTCTTAGTAAGAAGTATAGTATTTTAAAATTTTAAAACATTATGAAGACATAAAAATTTGTAAAAAGGAAAATATGAAAAAAATCACAGTTGCTCCCAGTAATGAAAGGTAAATATTGGTTTTTACATATCTGCAGTGCTTTGAAAACCACCATGACAGAAACATGCATTGTACAAGGAAACCGTCTTCTCCCTGGCTTCTCAATGGGTCCAAAAAGGATCTTGATGCTGACACATTTACTATGAGGCTTTCTGTCACTCTACATGTGTAGAGATTGAGACACTAAGGATTTGCTGGTTTTTAAAAGGTGATTCAGATATTTTCAGCTCAGGATTGAAATATGTTTAGCTATTGGATAATTGCTTTAGTTATTAACTACAAGTTTTGATTTATATCCGTTGAGGCATTTGCAGATATTTCCCTGTGAAAAAATCATTTTAGTTCACTGGAGCTAATAGAAGTTCTTTAATTAGGGAAATAAGTCCCAAATTACCAGCCTTTTAGAAGATGGATATTTCCTCCAAAATAGTATTTTTCCCTGCTGATTATAACACATGTTAAAGTGGCATTGCACCCAGTTAAGTAAAATAATTAAGTATAATATTATTCTAGCACTATATTATGCCATAAATGTTTTAAAATTGAGATAAAGAAGAATTATAGCTTTTAATGTTCTTGAGCTGCAATTATCCTTCTCTTACTCCTTACCTATTGATACCCTGCCTCCTAAACTTGGCCTCTACTGTGATTTCTAGGAAATAAGGACACCTGTTTAAGTGCCCTTCCTCTTTGTTTGGTTCAGTGACATTGCAATATTTGTTGGCATACATCGTGTCCTGATAGATAGGCAAGGGGTGATTTATAAAGTGCCTCTAAAACTTCGTAAATTGCAGTTTTCTATAGCAGAGCTTTGTTTTGTAAAACGTGCAGGAGACTTGAATGTCTTCATGACTGACAGCCTGGTCGCTGATTTACAGCCGACGAACTGCTCACGGCTCCCTGAATGCCCCTGGGCTGCCAGGCGGGAGGAGCTGATTGGTCAGCAGGGGTAGAGCTGGTGCCGAAGACGGGTCACCAGGCCACACTGGGAGGCTTGGCCGTTGTGACAGTGTGGCTGCCTATGAAGAGTTAATTTAATTCTGTGCACCGCAAATATGACATATTTGGATAATCATTTATGAAACAAAGCTATTTATTCAAAGCACCGTTTCTTTTTTTAGTAAAAAAAATTCTTCCTTTTTAAAGAAGTATATTACGTCGTGTGGCACTTATTGCATTCTCTTTTGGCAATATAAAGTAATTTATACCCAGCACGCGTGTAGGTANGCACTTATTGCATTCTCTTTTGGCAATATAAAGTAATTTACACCCAGCACGCGTGTAGGTAATTTCTAATAGTGAAATAAGTTCCTGGTTTTCAGTGATGAGTGGGAGCCTTTGCGTTGCCATCTGTGGGAGCGGCATGAGGGGAACGCACTGTGCTGAGCACCTGCTGCGCCCAAAGCGTTGCACCAGATGCTTCGCCCCCCTATCGCTTTAACCCCCAGCCAGCCTCTGGGAAGACCTAAGCGTGCCCCTGGCACCTCTACTTTGCACCTTCTGCCCACGCCCAGTCTCCCCCTTTCTCTGCCTTGCTCTGTGCGCTAGGAGCTCAGCAGGCTCCCTTGTCCTCTGCTTCTGTTGCTTCAACGTGAGGCGCCTGCAAGAGGTGGAAGCGGCTGTGGGTGGGCGAGGTCCCAGTGCTTCTGCCCCCTCCCTGCCGGGCTGCCGCAGCTATGTCCATTTTCCTGGGCCAAAGTGCCTGCCAAGTGGCCCTCTCCTTACAACCCCCTTTTCTGTCCATTCTGGTAACGCCCCCCCCCTTCCCTTCATTTACAGGGACAGTAACAGCTTCCAGTTGTCACCAGCCCTGACAGACAGTAGTCTCCTATGTTGCCCTTTTTTCCCCCCTCAAACATTGAACACACCTTTGCAAATAACAAAATTTCCCCCAAATGAGCCAATTTAGAGTGCCCTCTATTTTCCTCCAGGACTCTGACTGGTACCAGCACCTCCCCCAGCATCACACTGCTAATAATGCACAGGCCGGAGGTGCACACCCAGGCACAGATCATCTCAGCACCCAAGCCTGGGCACCCTCAGGCTCCGTAACTGCCACTGGATGGCGATGAAGCTGGAAGGGAGGGAAATAAGTGAGCTATCGCAAAGCTTCTTAAACGTGTTGGGTTAGTGACCTTACTATTAGGCATTTGGGGATTCAATAGACAAGAAATATTATGAGAAAGAATTAAGTTGTAGCATTGGTGCCAGGTAGGATCTGGTGCTGGCACTAACTCAGGAAGTCAGTATTGGCTTGAGGAGTATGAAGCTTGATCAGTCATCTCGGCTGTCGAACTCTCACCTTGCATAATATTTGAGACAGTGTTTTGTATTTATTAAGTAGAAATAACAGCAATATTCATGCAGGGAAAGTTACAGAACTCCAAGTAATAAAGTGATATGGGTAAAAATCCTCTGGGAGACTGGTCCCTTTAAAACTTGAGAGGTTTACTGAAATTTTAAAAATGTTTTAAAATGTTTTCTATATAGTTTTTTGTGATTTGATCACATAAGCTGGCACCTCAGAGAATGTGTACGCAGGAACAAAGTTCTCCTCACTACTCCCCATGGGAGCCGGTGAAATCCAGCGAGGTAAGCATGGAGATGGAGATGGAATAGGCAGTGTGTCAAGTTAGCAATTGATTTTTATAAAGAGATGTTTAGCAAAAGCAAACTAAAGAAGAAACATAATTTAGTTTCTCAAGATTGATGAAGATTTGAGGTAGTGAACTGTGAATTTAGCACATATGTTTAGGAGAGAATGCCAATTAAAATAAGGTTTGTTTATTCTAACACTAACACAAGTGAAATTTTCCCCATAAATCCCTTCAGGGCTTCCTGGGTTTGGTTCTTGTCAGTGTCTAATAAGAAACCCATTTTTACAGTTATTAGAGAGACAGCTACCATAGCTTGACTAACGAGGGTGGGTGGGAATCAGGAGCTTGGGAATTCCTTAACCCCACCTCTTATTTTGGCTGGAAAGCAGCCATTATTTCAGCCCATCGTGCCCCACCTTGGAAAGCCAGAAACACAAGGGCTTGCCTTTGGCTCGGTCTCTCCAAGGGTAATATGCGTTTGACAACTTCTGATCCCCTCCTAACAAATACACGACAGCCACGGGTGGCGCCTGGCCTGGGGCTTTGAGACGCTGGGGTGCAGATGCAGTGCTTCAAAGGCCTGGGCAGCCACCCGGAAGGTCATGGCCGTGGTCAATTTGTCTGCCGTTTTCTCCCACGCCAGCCGCAGCCTCTCCTCCTGCTGCAGCCCAGGCCCGAGGGCCGGCGTGCTCCACAGGCCCGCCTTCAGGAGGACGCCCCCCTCGCCCCGGAGCCGGCTGGGCGGAGCTGTGGGACCGGCGTATCAGCAACTTGAGGAACCAAGGATCCCAGACCGGGACACAATACCTTGCCAAGGGTAGGTCTGAAAACAATGACATTTAGGGAGGGNCGGAGGGCGCCGTTATTACTATAGTTTTCAGTTGAGTTGTTGTGTTCATTGGGAGGCTACTCATTGATTTCTCTTCAATTAGCTATTTATACTCACTTGCATCTTGGTCCACAAAAGCAAAGTAACTTAAAAGAACAGGTGCAGTGGAATTAGATATTAGGAAAGTGTTAGATGGAAAATAAACAAAACACCACTAGCAAAAAAATAAATATGTGGATATCTAGGCATTATGTTATTAAATAGTTGCTAAAACAACTTAGAATTTATCTCTGATTTTAAAAACTAGGTATTTCTTAGGAAGACTAAAGTGTTCTTTGATCCTTAGGTTTGAAAAAAATTACTTAATTCTCTGATCAGTACTGTGGACAATACCCTAAATAGTAATTTGTAACATATATATCATCTGCCTCCGCGGAGCATTCTTGAACGTGCCTCAGTTAATGTCGACAGCATGCTCTCAAAGTCCAACTTGCTGAACTCGGATCTGTAGGCCCCTTCACGGTGCAGGGATGGAAAGATGGGCTTTGGACATGACGGCTGCTATTCCTCCCGGCAGTGAGAAAGGTGTCCCTTCCTCTGAGCGGGATCTCTATAGGACTCAAGGCGTGGTGAGTGGAATGTAGGATGAATTTCAGTCACCATTCCCCTAACTGACATCCTGTTCGAGCAAACATGGCAGGTCTTACNTTCGAGCAAACACGGCAGGTCTTACTTACAATGGCTGAAGTTCAAATCTCATCTTTGGCCCTTACAACTCGTGTGATTATGAGATAGTTTTATCATCTAAGCTTGAGTTTTTTCATCTAAAACTTGAACAAAAATANTGGCAGGTCTTACAATGGCTGAAGTTCAAATCTCATCTTTGGCCCTTACAACTCGTGTGATTATGAGATAGTTTTATCATCTAAGCTTGAGTTTTTTCATCTAAAACTTGAACAAAAATAATACAGCTAAAGGTTGTTGAGTAGATTTTGTAAAAAAAAAAAAAAAGTATGTGTGTAAAGAGGTGGTGTCTGTCACGTGATAAGCAAAGAGGTCGTACTGGTATTTACTGTCATAAGAACTGTTATAAAATTATCATTGATTTCAAGAGTAATGTAATCAGGGTTTACTCTAGAAATTTCAGGAATCTGTTCCCTCACACCACCAGGTTCTTATTACATCTAGTTTTTATCTCTGTGGATGAGCCAGGCCAGGTTTCTATGCCGCTCTGGCCTCCGTGATTTCCCACAGGGTATCGGGCTGAAGGCCAAAGCCAGCAGGAGGTCCATCCCAGAGCCTTACCTGTGTCTTTTCTTCAGGGCATAATATACGTGCAGTCGCACCCTACCTGACAAAGCTCAGCACCAGATTTTCTTAGGAGGACTAGTGGAGAAGTAAACAGCCTGTGGCTGGGTTTTGCAATTTTGAAGCAGTTCCAGATGAAGTGTAAAATGTGGTTGGTACGGATCTGGGATGACAGCTGCAGATTCAACATAACAGCCAAGTTGTCCAAAATGTAGAATGTAAGTCAAGAAGTAGCTGGCTTTTCCCTTTGCCTTATATCTGGAAAGGGGCTTGCATTTAGCCTGCAATTATAACTAATCATATTTCATAATTATTTTCCTTCTAAACTCACTGAGACTGCCTGTTACTTAAGACTAGTATATTTTGTGAGTAGAGAGAGAACCCAGCCCATGCTGTCTTTCTTTCTGCTGGGCATGTTTTGGCTGTCATTCCCTGTGTCCCAGGTGTAGGGATGCTCTGAGCTGTGCTGGGCACAGGCTTGAACCACACACGCGCACACACGAATCTTCAGGGACTCTGAGATTCCCATTGCAGGTTCAGGCCCTGCTTTGTCTTTCAGCTCCTGGGAGACTTACACTTATTGTCTGCATGGCGGTGGTTTTGTTTTGGTTCAGTCATCATCGGAATTGGAATATTCTCTCCAGCTGGCTGGCCACGTGTATTTTCCTAGGTGTGATATGCACCCAGTGTTGATAAATGGTGACTCTAAGTATAAGTCACTGTGTATTCGGCTCAATGAATCTCAGGGAGCAGTCTCATTCTGGGTTCTTGAAAACAGCTATTTCCTACTCCTGGGGGACCGTCCATCTCTCTGGACTGGAAATAGGGTTGGTAATAGAATTTCACAGTTAAAGGTCCCCTTCAAATCCGGCCCTCGCCTGGAGGGGGAGTGAACGGATTTGCAGGAGCCATGGGCCATCTGCTGCTTGTTCATCAAGCATGTGGGCTCTGTCTGCTAGTTAGGCTCCGGCTTGTGTGACTTCTCTACATGGCACTGGCTTCGGCCCAGTTTGAACCTGGCAGCGATAGTGAAGCCTGAGGAAGGCGTGAGCTGGTGATTATTCAGGAGCCTTCCCCGATCGGCGGGTCAGTGACAACCCTGGCACCCGCCTTCAGAGCTCTGAGCTGCATTACGTCGGGCGAATCCAGCTAATGCGTTCATAGGCTAGACAAAGGGAACGGAGTTACACAACTTGGGCTGCCACCTTCGGAGCAGAAGGGACACAGAGCGTGCTGACTATTCCCCTCCCTTAACTAGCCGCTTTACGAACTTCACTCAGTGTCCTCAGGAGCTGTGTAGGTGAATCACTAAGGATGGCAGATGCAAGCGGCCAGCACACGGTGGGCTACACCGTGCCACAGAACTAAGACTGGGACTGGCCTTTCTCACTAAATAAAGCACCAAGCCAGAAAGGGCATGTGAGGAAAGCTCCGTCCCGGGGTGACAATGNTCTCACTAAATAAAGCACCAAGCCAGAAAGGGCGTGTGAGGAAAGCTCCTTCCCGGGGTGACAATGTATAACTGGACCCTCTAGCTGTCCAGCTGCAGGGGAAGAGAGGGTGCCTTCGATCGAGTCTGTTCCTTCTGAAGCCATATGCACTGGGAAGTGGGTCGTGGAGTCCCCTGGGGAAACACCAGTTCCTCAGCCTGGCTCCTGAACTACTGGAAACAAATCCAAGGGACTAATTGTTGGAATAGCTCACCTTTTAAAGGTTGTTTTGACTCACACAGTTACTGAGGAAACGCACGTGTGATTTTTTTGATGAGGGATTGGAGGAAGGACAGCCTTAGGCCAGTGTTACTACCTGATTGTTTTCATTGGTGAGAAAATTAAAATGAGACTTCAGTTTGTCTATAAATGGCATTGGGACTTGACGTCATGTCTGATCCAAAACAAAACCACATTTTGGCGATCTCTAATAGTTTGAAGCACACCTTCGCGCTGTAGTAACATTTGGGATTTCAGTTATTGCCAGCCGTGTGTCTTGTGAGGTGACGCACACGCCAGCGACAACCCCCTTCCTCCTCGCAGTCCTCAGTTCAGCAGTTGGGCATGTTAGAAGACTGCCCCAAGTCTGGCTGGAATTGCCTTCCATCACTTCTTTGTCATGACTCTTTGTTGACTTGCTGAAACTACAATTGGCTAAATCCTCTAAGATATTTACACCTTTATCTAATATTTTTACAAATAATGTTTAGGCCCTGGTATAAGAATTTGCACCTTTCAGCATCACATTTCAACCTATTACATTCCACCCACTCATATACTCTGATGGTATCTACGTGGAGCACGATTTTATCCTAATTAGATTTTTTGGCTCTGTGACCTTGGAAAATTTGATAGTAGACATGCCATATCTTCATAGGTATTAATGTTGTTAACAGGATGGTGCTAAGGACAGCACACAAAACCCTCTGATTTATTCCATCTCTCCTTGTTGAGATTGATTCATTGATTAAAACCCTTAGGCTTAGATTCTCAGTTCTATAACACTAAAGAAAAGGGCTAAGATCCCCTGGGGAAGGTCCTTGTACATGGTGGCTCTACAGTTTGCACAGGTAACAATTATACAGCCTTTGAAAGGTGCTCTAGTGCACCGTGGATGCCCACTCATTTCTGGCTTTCACAGTAGCAATGAAAATAAGACAACCTGGGTTTAACTTCTTCCTCTGCTGCTTACTAAAGGTAATTTGGGGCAAGTCATTTGAATACCCCTTAGTCCAGTTTCTTCATTCATTATATGGTAATAATAATAAATAAACCACACAGCTTTAAAAAAAAAAAATCAGTGAGGCAATTAAAGGTGAAAGGGCTTATTAAAAGTACTATGCAAATGTTAGCTCTTGTTATGTTTGAAATGGATGCTATAAAGTATTTATCTCTAAGATATGCTTATGTATTCATGAGTCTATTCCATCAGGATTTATTGGTTACCAACTTTGTACCAGGTACACAGTAAGAGAGGGTGGGACTAAAAAGACACCTAAATTTGCTCCCCAACTTTTCTCACTGTCAGATAGAAAGACCTTTAAATTACTCCCATAAAGACTTCTATTTGGTATGCTACACACTTCATCACAATTATTTCCTTGCATAATCATGACTTTTATTTACATTACAATGTAAGACAAGGGAATGATCTTTATTGTATGGAGGGTTGATATGTTTAGATGATGCTTAAATTTTAATGTTTAAACATTTAAATCAAGAACAAATAACAGAAATAGAATAAAAACTACTGTTGAAGTCTCCAAACCACATTTCTATGAATCTACGATATACCATCCCCCACTTTCTGCGACTGAAAAGTTCAGAGATGCTGGGACGTTCTCTAGCTCTGAACAGGCAAGAAAGGGGCTAGCCAGGTTCTGGAATCTTCAGATTATGTAAAATGGCACGTTGGATTTCTTGACCAGCCATTGATGTGCACCAGTGCACTACCTTCCTTGGCTGCAGAAACCTTGTGAGGAAAGTTGCTAGATGGGTAGAGGCCCCACGAAATGCACTTCATGTTTGTCCCTGGGCAGAGAGAAGAATCGTGTGCCTCCCTTTCCCATTTAAGCTCAGCAATTTGTAGTGAGGCAATTCCTACAGAGCAGAATGCCAATCGGAATTGCATCCAGTTCCACTAAAGTCAGCGTGAAGCAGAAAAACTCAGGACTGTAGCACCTTAACACCTAATGTTGGGCTTCCTGATCTCTCCAAGTAGGTTGGCCACATGAGTACCAAGCCAGGGCTGAGAGGGTGGTCAAGTTGATGGAGTGGAGTAACGCCGTTATGGGTTTCCTGTTTGTCACTGTGGAAGGCCACACTTACCTGCTCAATCCCCATTTACTTTGTATTCTAGGATAGAGGTCAGGAAGACTATATCCCACCTGCCTATACAGCTGTGGTGTGTTGAAAGATCCCTGGACTTAAAGTAAGAAGATCTGGGTTTGAGTCTCAGTCTGTCACTTATTTTTCTGTGTGACCTTGGGCAAGTCACTTCACCTATCTGAGCTTCAGTTTACTTCTCTGTTTATCTGGGAACATATTATGCGTCTTATGGGGTTGCTGTGAGTAGTCAGTGAGCTGGTGCATGTGGAAAGTGCTTTGTTGGCTGGCGAGTGCTCTAGAGCAGCTCTGGCAGGAGGCAGACCCTGTAACACTTTGTTTCTGTTTCAGGCATTCATCCGCTGGTTTAAACATCCAACAAAATGCATCAATAAATATGCAACTGCCTTCAAGAGAGACAAACTCCTATTTTCATAGCTTGGATCAAAAGGACCTGATGGGATATTCATCCCCAAGGGCCAGTTCCGTGCCCATCTCCCCTTCAGTGGGTCCAGAGGAAACCTGCAAGCAAATGCCAGGGACCTCCGAAGTCAAAAGCATCAAATGGTGCAAAGACTCCTACTCTGCTGATACTGTCAACGTGAGTATTCCAGTCAGCGATTGTCTTATAGCAGAACAGCAAGAAGTGAAAATATTGCTAGAAACTGTCCAGGAGCAGATCCGAATTCTGACTGATGCCAGGCGGTCAGAAGACTACGAACTAGCCAGTGTAGAAACTGAGGACAGTGCGAGTGAAAACACAGCCTTTCTCCCCCTGAGTCCCATGGCCAAATCTGAACGAGAGGCACACTTTGTCTTAAGAAATGAAATACAAAGAGACTCTGCATTGACCAAGTGACTTGAGATGTAGGAATCGGTGCATTCTATGCTTTGCTCAACAGGAAAGAGAGGAAACTAAATACAAATTATTTATATGCATTAATTTAAGAGCATCTACTTAGAAGAAACCAAATAGTCTATCGCCCTCATATCATAGTGTTTTTTAACAAAATATTTTTTTAAAGGGAAAGAAATGTTTCAGGAGGGATGAAGCTTACAACTAAAGCTTTTGGGTGGAATTCTGAATACCGTTTCAGTTAGTCCCAACACTGTCCTCTTTGGCTCTTAGTAGATGTGGGCGATTCAGCCCCTCAGGCCCACAGCCCCAGTGTTCTGGTAGAAAAAGCGCTTAGCGAGAGAAAGCATCCGAGGGCGGCTGTGCCATGAGCAGGCGGCCCTCGCCATTTGGCTCGACGGCCCCAACCCCTAAATTTCTCTTCACTCGACAGCCTCATGCAGGTTATGTCATGTCAACAAGCGTAGTGTGTTCTATTTAATTCCTGAAGAATGGCACAGAGACTCTGCAGAGAGAAGGGCAGGGTTTAGAGGGGCTCACCGGGGGCAGCCTCAGCTACTCTTAACGTGCCATCTTCCTCTGAAATGTGAAGGCGCAGAATCTCAGAGGGAGGTCTGAAATCAATACAGAAAAAAGACCAAAAAATCTCGGCACCGTGCCGCTGAAGTCCTGCTGGTAGAAATGGTTTCCTCTGAGGTCGCTTAGGCGCCGAGGGAGCCTTTGCCGGCGGGCCTGCCTCCGAGCGCCCTTCGCTGTCCGCACACGCGTTCGTTGTGAGTGTGTGTGTGCATGTGTGTGCGTTTTAAGCTTGCCAACATTTGTTCTGAAACATCAGGGACTCTAATACTCAGAAAAAAAAATTTCCCTCTTAGATCTGTTCACTTTAAATTTTTTCATTAAGCAAAAAGTTCAGTTAGTAAGTTCTTGAATCAGTCACTTGCATGGTGGGCTCCTATACAATGTTGACAGTGTCTAGACCATTTCCGACGTGAACGCTTCTGGAAGGAACAACTGTAGGATCATGGGTGGTATCCGTATCACAGGGCGAGTGGAAGATGTGTATTTATTTTGAATCACGCGTACTTAAATTATTTGCACAAGCCAATGACCAAATTGACGGTTATCCTTTGCTTTCTCATGAGCCTCATTGCTATTTATTTTGTAGCAAGTCTACAACCTGTGGACCAAGACATTGGCTTCTGTGGTTAATATGGAAAGAATAAATTGTCGAAATCGCAAAACCCAGAGTATTTAGTCCACAAGAAGGCCCCAAAAGAACAGTAAATCGTGTTGTATGTTCATTTGGAATAAAGCAATATTTTTACCACTGCTGAGGTGAACGGGGAATCCTCCTGGAGATTTGTCTGTTTTATTTACCCTTACTTTGATGGGGGCATTCAAGAAAATTAGTGTTCACATAACCAGTCTTTTTCCAATTATTGGTGGTGTTGTTATGTTTACACTGTTTTAAATAAAAAGGCACAGTATTTGAAAATACATAAAAGATTTCTTTTACTGCAGTTGGGGAACCTTGGTTAAGATTTCCTTGTTCCAGTGAAAGGAAATGTAACTTTCTGAATCAGACATTGAATATATACAACTCTTATTTAAGGTTAAGTTGTTTCTCTAGAAAATACATTGCAAATTGCTCTTTGAGAGCATTCTTTAATAATAGGCATAATGCCATACAGGGAAAAGAAAGAACACAGTATTCTTCTCGACACCGTTTTTGAAAAGTCAAGGTCTCAAACGTTGAAAACATTTTGGTAGAAACACATTTTAAATTCAACAAACGGTTCATGGTATTCATTGGTTGTCCCTTTATCGTTTGGTTGTTTTGAAAATGGAGGTAATGTTAGCCTCTTAAAAGAGGATTATAAATTTTTAATTTCTAGATCATCTTCTACATTCTCTTTTAAAAAGATGATACCTTTGGGAAAAAATTGGAAAGATGGTCTTAACAGGTATATAAGCCCCCTTAAGTTGCATATCAAATATGTTATGGTGTTAAAATTTATTACGACTTATAAACATTAACTGGAAGGCCTCACAAGTTTGTTGATGTCAATGTCTTTTTTCACTGAAATGTTGTTACTTGTTGCTTATCTGAAGGATTCTTACACAGTTTACCTAATTAGGAGGTTAGATAGTCTGTGGCTCACCGTAGTTATGTTAATATATTATTTACTCTGAAAAGATTGAAGATTATCAGTAAGTCCTGGCCCAGCCCGTTATTTTTTCAAATAGAACCGTGTGTTACGTGATTATAAACGCCCTGTGCATCCTGAAGAGCGCGACCAGCAGGCACAGGCGCGCAGTCTGCTGTGAAGCTCAGAGATACAGTTGCTTCCTAACTGACAGCCAAGACCAGATCCTCCATAAAGAATGCGTATTCGTGGTCCCTTTCAGTGGCCATTTGCCTCCTTTTGGAACACGAAGCCCTCCTCTGAGAAAGGTCCCAGCCCAAAATGCAGAGTTTTGGGCACCGGCAGACAAGTGCTGACAGCATCAGGACTTTCAAAGCTGACCTAACACGGCAGACGCCTGGAGCCACCGTACCTTGTCCTTCAGGGTCGCGGGCCTGCAAACAAATACTTGTTTCTACACGACGCCTCTGATTTTGCTTCATTTGCCTTGTCTTTATTATGTTAACAGGTTTGTCATTAAGTAAGTGGCATATTTGTTATTAACTGGAAAATGAGTGTCACCCATTCTTTTTACACCGAATCGTTTTCCGATGTGGCTTGTTTTCATAAAGCGTACGCTAGCCTGATTTGCCGGTGACGCTGTGGAGTGCTGTGCTTCAAATCCTGGGACCAGTTGTATGCTAATGAAAACAGTAGCAATGATGTGGGATGATTGGCACCCACACTTTCTTCCTGGATGCCCTGTGCAAGCGCGTCACGAAGTCCCTGCTTCACACACTAGTCCAATGTCTCTGCTTTGCTATGAATTAAGGACTAAATATTTATAAATGTCTCACATCTCTAATAATTTACGTCATTTCTAAGTAGCAACAGCAAGGCCACCTGGAGGAGCAACAGTGCTGTTTCCAGGACTTGACAAATTAGCCTGTTCTCATCGTCATAACGTATCAGACCTGCCCAGAGGAGAATGGAGGGCCAAGCAGGCTTCAAGGGGTGCACGCCGGCTTCCAGAGGGAATGACAGGAAACCTGCATTCGAGTGAGGCTCCCGGGGGCCCTGGCCAAGGCTGTCAGTGAGCAGGTGGCCTCCAGAACCCGCAGCAGCTGCTCACACCCACGGGCCGCGTGGTGCTACCGGGAACCACCCCGCTAAGTGAGGGCGGATGGCGGTTCCTTGATGTCAGCCCCATGAACCAGAAACTATTGCCCTGAGACCACTGCTGTGAAGCAGTCCCCAAGTCTGTGTGTGGTACACACACCTGGGGCCACAGCAGGGGGGGCGGGCATTTTATTTGATCTTTTGGTACCTGGGAAACATTTTATATCTAAAAAATACTTTTTTATTATTAGTCAATTGTGTAGATTCAGTACAGTGTATTCAAGGATAGCATGTCCCTACTGTGTTTGTACTTGAGTCTTCAGAAATTCAGTCTTCATCCAGGAAAAACAGATGCAGTGTTTCCAGGGTGTTCTCAATTTTAAATGTATCCCAACATTTCATGGGAAATGAGGCCTTTAAATAAGCTTTATCTCTTTCTCTTTTATTCTTTCCCTTTTAAGAAATAGTGAGAGTACAGCAAGAAGTTCATTCCTTAAGGTCTACCTTGCTCTCATAATAATCAGTTTCCTACTGTGACTACACACATGCGCACACGTACATGTATAAACATATGTGTATATATAAAATATATATGTATATTAAATTTATGTTTCATTATTTTGATAGCTTTATTTTTGCTTAAGTTGACAAATATTAGAGTGATGGGCTTCTGTAATGCCAATGAAAGCAAATCATGTAGAGCTCTGCCAACTTGGCAACATTTAGATAATACAGGTGCTTTTCAGGTCTTTCTCTTAGGTAATCAGAAATATCTTCAGGCCGGAAAATTCAAAAGACCCTGAAATATAATCTCTGCCAGGTTATCTCTTAGAAATGAAGATTGAACTATGGGTGTAGATGATTACTGTCCCTATAACATATAATGATCTCAAAGATATTTTTTTACAAATTAAATCAACTTCTCCCAAGGGTCCCTAAACAGGTGCCTTTGACTTCTAGTGAGTGCCCTTTAATCTAGTGAGGTGAAGGAGGAGTGGTGGTGGGGACTGCGTGTTAATGTCGGATACTCAGTGAAGACGTGATGACAATGGCAGAGGTGAGCAGGCCTAGAAGCACTAGGCTTTTAATACTTTGATAACTTTTTGTCATAAATACCTGTATTGACTGCACATGTAATCTTGCCTATGAAAGAACTGTGATAGCAAGCAATGAATTATTGTTGGAAATGAATTAGAAAATCATTATATTGAAAATTATCTCTGTGAAAGCTTCTAACTTATCTACCCATAATAGTAGCTCCATTGGTCAAATACAGAGGATGATCTAGTCCATCTTCAACTGTTTTCCAAATTGGATACCTTGTTATGCAATCATTATAATTTAGATGTTACCTGGTCATTTGTCATCTTATCGGTTGAACACAACCCTTTAGAAAGTTAATAGCTATAAGACTTTCTCTGTAAGACTCAAAAATAATTGGAATCCGTATATGAATCTATGAATAAGACTTATATTTATAATGTTCCATTTAATTTGCTTGCAGAAACAGGATCACCTTTGTGATTGTTTTTAAAGTAAATTTTTCTTGGACAGGTAATAAAAATGAAGGATTGACCAAGAAAATATCGAAAAAGCTTGAGCATCAGAACTTTCCCCAGATTTGGGGTTCAGAATTTGCTGCCGATTTTTTAAGAGAAACTGCACTCTGCGAATCTTTATCAAAGCCAGAGCAAGGGGTTCTGCAGAGAAAGCGTGAGACCTTGAAGATGACCCCTCTCGTAGAGGCAATTGACGCACTCTCATTGGATACACCAAATATTTATTGATATTCTCAATTATTTGCATCTAAAACTCATTAATATAAACTCTCCAATTAATAGTAAATAAATTCCCTGGAGACATTTTCACATTATAGTTGAAAATAATCCTGTCTTTGGGACACAATGGACCAAAAAATGTAAGGTTTACTTTCTTACTTAATTTTGGTCTTAACTGCTGTTTTTTGACAAATCAATATCTATTTGCTCTTCCAAAGTAGCATCCTGACTAGCACTATTCTTTCATATATAATTTACCTTCATCAAGATTCTAAAGTCTAAATTTCTTAGTCTTCAATAAAACAATGCAAGATCTAAAATACTTGAATCAAAAAAAGTAAAACTCTTTAAGTTGTGTTGTTTATTAAAGATATAAGGATTCCATGTAGTTGCTTACAAAATCAAAATAGGGAAAAAAATCCACATTTTGAAATTTGTTTTTGATGTATTTAGACGGCTGATGAAGCACTTGCTACACTTTACATTGATACTGTCCTTTCTGAAATCAATATAAATTTAAGGGCTTATACAATCTCACACGCACACATGTGCTCTCACACACAGCATAACACACATGGTGTGTTAAAGCTCATGTTATGCTCTTTTTCCCTAGATCTTCCCTTACAGCTCACCTAAGTGTGTCCAAACTCTCACAAGGAAGACCTTGAATTCAGATGTTTCATAGGAAATGGATGCAGCAAGAAAATATATTATCTTCTATGTTTTATACAGTCAGCTTTTGAATTATGTCTTCATCAATAAAAGTGTGGAGAACTGACACCTCTGTTCAATCTGAAACAAACGGAAGAACACAGTACTCACTGCCAAGCCCCTGCACTGCCAGTGACCACTGTGGATATCAAACACAACCCGAGGGAAATGCTTGGCTCGCTCCTGTTTTTGTTACGTATGTAATTGTACACATTAAATCGAAATAAAAACATTTTCCATAGTTCTTAATAACTAATATATTTTATTAACCCATTTGATCATATTTTAAATAAAGAATGTACGTCACACACAGCAAAATGGTCAGCAGAATACTTTTAGTAATCGTTTTAAAAAATTCACTAGAAACAATCTTTTGTGCCTGAGATAATAATTTTGTTTCAAGGAGTGTGTGTGTATCTCCTTTATTTTCTTTCAAGAAAACATTTCAAAATGATGCTATGGCTCTGTGGGGTGTGAAGGCTACGGGAAATAATCCTGGGTGTATGTCCTTCGACTTCCAGCAAGTTGAGTTCCACTGTCTGCACTTTGTTTCAGGGGAGAGGCAC